AATTAAATTTGGAAAATAAATGGAAATCTGTGATTTTTTTTATTTGTTGAAATTTGATTTATTGGACAGGTTAATGGGAAAAGTTGCATCAGATAAGTGTCATAAATGGGTATTCAAAGAACCAACAGAATCTGAACCCAATATCTCCAATTACTGGCAGAGTTCCTTTGATGCTGTAATTTTCTCTTTTTAGTTTCACTTTTTTACCTTATTTCGTGTTCGATGATTAACCTATGTTATTCCGACTCTTTATTCACGAATCCGGCATTCGTAACATCGGTATTGTTGCTGTAATTGCAGCTTCCTCCTGAATGGACTGATCAATTTGATTCAGGCATTCAGGTCAGCACAGAAACTGTTCAATTTTCATATGTTCACTGTTGTTGGTTTACTTTGTCTAATCATCAAGACTTTGGTGATTTCTTGGTGTGTTTTTTTTCCCTTTCTTGTTCAACAGACTATTGCTGTGATTCAAGCTGGCCATGGTCTTCTCCAGTTAGGTTCCTGCAAGATTGTGAGTCTTATTATTATATGTTTAGTTGGTTATAAAGTAGCTCCTCGAAACGTAATTTCCGGGGTGTTTTTTAAACTTTTCGTTGTCGATTATCAAGATTGAAGTTCGGTTTTTTGATCTCTCTGTGTGAATCCTCATATACCTTTGAATCACTTGGATATCAATCTGGTTTCTAGTATGAAATGTTTATGTTTAATAGTTATTTAGTTGACCATAAAGTAGCTCTTCAAAATGCGATTTTCATTTTCTTTAATCGACTCTTTGTGGTTGGTTTTCGGGATGAAAGTTCGTTTTGATCTCATTGTGCGAATCCTCAGATACCTTTGAATCTCTTGGATACCAATCTGGTTTCTAATATGAAACATATATGATTACTAGTTTTATGAACATAAAGTAGCTCTTCGAAATTTTGTTTCTGTTTTTTATCTTCTTTGTGGTTGGTTTTCAAGATTAAAGTCCGGTTTTTCGATATCATTGTGTGAATCCTTAGATACATTTGAATCTCTTGGACATCAATTTGGTTCTTCATGTGAAAAAAATTATGATTATTAGTTGTTTAGTTGATTTTCGGATTGAAGTCTGGTTTTTTAATCCACAGATACCTGAAGACCTTCATTTTGTGCTGAGAATGAGGCATACTTTTGAATCTCCCGGATACCAATCTGGTTTCTATCTGTCTCAGTTGTTTTCGTCGAACAGAAATGGTTCGTCTCTATCAACGATTCCTTCAAAGCAGTCCACCGTTCCAATGCGGCCACCTCCTCCGCTCTTCAATTGGAGCCAGCGGCCACTTCCGCCAGCAACTAATCCAATGCTTGCTTCACTTAATTTTCAGAACCCGGGTAGACTTGGATTTCAGCAACCCCAAGACGAAACCCACATGTTCCTACTGCCACGTTCGTCCGAAACCCGAATGGAAGACATGATGGTTGAGCATGAAAATGACATCAAATGGCCTAATGGCTTGAGTTTCTTCACTGCTCTCACCGGACGAACCGAAGATGCCAAGCTTTTATTCAACTCCGAGAGCTTAGGAAACAAACCAGAAACAAACGATCACCCACTTATACTCGACGGAAAAGACTCCAATCAAAATTCAGATGCTGGGGCGAACCCGAACGAGTTCTTGAGCTTGGATAGTCATCCTGAGAATACGAGGAATATGGAAAACAAGTTGAAGAAGAACTTTCCGATACCTGCAAGGATGGCCACGTCTTCATCATCGACTTCAGTCGATCATCATCAGCACCAAACCAGGGAGTACAGGAACTCCGAGCCTGGGATGTACACAGATGTCATGGAAACGTTCTTGGATTGAAATGTACAAGGATTAGTGTTTGTTTTTATTTATATAAATGTGTCTTTAATACACTAAACTCAACTATCTAATAATTTCTTGTAGTTTATCCTTAATATAGCTTCCTTCTAGCTTTTCCTTGAAAGAGTAACTATCATAGAATGATTTTTTTTAAACATTAAACTTTTTAAAAATTATAAAATAAACATTAAAATTTTAGTTTTATTTCAGAATAAATATTTAAAATTTTGGTTTTGTTACAAAATGAATCTTGGGTCATCAACTGTACTAACATGATACATTGATAGGTAATATTTTAATTAGTTCCTCAAAATTTTATTTGGATACTTTTTCATACTTTTAAATAATAATTTTAAAAATAAAAAAAATTAATAAAATTGAAATGTCAAGTGAAATAGTATTTATTAATTTCAATATGTCACACCATTTCAGTTAAATATTACCCATTTTATATTAAAACCCAAAATTTAATATTTATTTTATAATTTAAAATTTTAATATCTAAAAGGATCATTTCAAAACTAATTTAGTGATCATGTTCTAACTTTACATAAATTTAATTTATTAAAATTTATAATTCGTAAAGATTGTTTTAATTGCAATTTTTTAACCTGCAATTTTTTGTTTTAATTGCATGATCCAATAATTCAATCATTTAGTCAAATAAAAATAGTAATTAATAGCATGCATAAAATATTAAAAAATAAAATAAAAGGATGAAACCCTATAAATTAAGTTTTAACCCTCACAATTTTTTGAATTCAATTGCTTCTTAGGTCTTATTAATTTTGAAACTAAGCAAATTAAGGCTTAACCTCCCAAATTGTTGGGTAAAATTGCTGTTTAGGTCCTATCAATTTTAAAATTAAGCATATTAGACCCTAACCCTCCTAATATTTAAATTTATGACTTGATAATTAAACTATAGCTCTATACATATTTGCACCCCTGAAATTTGATTATGTGGTTTTAAACTATATGTTTTTCTATATATGAGAGCATGCATGCACCCAACACTGTGTTCATCAAAGTGGGAAATACATAGCTTTTGAGTAAATAACAAATCCTGCAGAAATTTGCAATTGCAATGAATATCACAAGACCAAGTTCAATTCATTTAAAGAAACCAGTCCCATACTCTTCATTTTGCCTGATTATACAGAAATATGTAAAGTTCACAAGAAAAATAAGATTCAGAATACAAATTTTTTAATCACCTTTGGGTTTGTTGATGAAAACTGACAAATCCATGTTTGCACTTCCATATCCACCCTGCAGTATTATTATTATTATCAAATATTAGTTGATAATATTTTAAAAACTTAAAACATAAACTAATGATAATTAAAAGAATTCTTAGTTATTTAAAATTAAAAATATTTTAAAATAAAAAATAAAACTTGAAGTAATCGCATCTAATCAGGCAAAACATCGAAATAACTATTCTAAGACAATGAGCATACACACATCATGTAAACGTAATTGCCCGAATTTAAAACTTTTATGAAGAACAATTCTCTCATTTATCACTAAAATCATTGAACGAATTCAATATTAAATTAATTTAAATACCAAAATCTAAAACCTAAAAATATAAAGTCGCAGTTGTAACATCCAACAATGTATCAGTACCAACCCAAAATCTCATAATCCCTATTCATCATCATTAATCTTCATCTTTAGAACTAAACACCATCCCTACAATAATACCCGATCCTTATCATTCTTACTTGAACTGAAAAATCATTTATGTTTTGAGTTTCAGTTGGATAGTAGAATATAAATTATTTTTTCGGTGTTTTTTAAAAAATAATAATATTATATTTTTAAGACAAATCTCATAATTTAAGTTCACAAAAGTCGAGATAATATATATCATTAATTATTCAATTAATTAATAGATTGATAAGAAAGTAATTTATAATAAAAGAAGTATTTTAAAATCAGATCAATTACAGTTGTATTCGAGATTGGTGCAGGTTTCTTGCATGATTAATTTGGTGTCTAAAAATAATGGCAAAATGCAAATGATAGTGAAATTCAACGTGGGGTACCCCATTTTCATTCACATGGTCAATGATAGGTTAAGATTTTTTTAATAACAAAAAATAGGCAAAAGTGTCAAAATAATAATGATGTGGGAATTTTTAATTCTCAAAAGAATGTATTTATCTATTAATTTTTGATATAGGGTATTTTTTTTTTAGGGGTGTTCATTGTTAGATGGATTTCTAGGTGTATGGTTTCCATTGGCTATTTTATATAAATATTACTTTAACAAAAATTAATTACTTGTTAGGTACTGTTTAAGAATATTTTACGGATCTAGCATATTTTTAAATACTTTCTATAAAATTATTCATGTATTAAATTACATAATACAATTATATCTACTAATTACCACTTGACACTTTCTGATGCGTTTTTGACCCTTTCAAAATCCTATACGTATAGTATATTCTAGGAAACTTTGAGGGTAAGTAATTTAAAATATAAATAATTTTATAAAATAATACAGATCATCATCATTTTGAAAATAATTTTATGGAAAGACGCATAAGAAAATAATTTTATATAAATAATTTAATTTTCAAAATCTTAGAATATACTATACGTATAGGATTTTGAAAGGGTCAAAAACGCATAAGAAAATGTCAAGTAGTAATTGGTAGACATAAATGTATTGTGTAATTTAATGCAGAAATAATTTTATAGAAAGTATTTAAAATATGCTAGATCTGTAAAATAATATTAAACAGTAACAAGTAATTAATTTCTGTCAAGGTGATATTTGTGTAAAAATGTCAAATTTTTTTTAAAATGCTAAAGACGCCGGAATTTCCACAATTGAATTCACCCAAAGACGCCAAAAAATATGATCCACCCCTGAAGACGCCGAGAGATCTCAAAACTCTGTAAAAAACACCCTATATCATAAATTAATCGAGTGACTACATTACTTTGGGAATTTAAAATTCTCATAATTATTTGGGCACTTTTGCCCCCCCAAAAAAAAGACAATTTTTAATAGAAACTTATCTTAACATTATTTTTTCAATACAAATTAACAAACGAATGATTAAAATATTATAAATAGATAATGTTAATGATAAAATATAAATACGTAGTTTAACCATTATATAATTTTATAAATGAAAATTAAGAAAAGAAAAGCAAATGCGAAGAACGCGTGATGGAGTTAAGGCAAAGAACGCGGCGTGTGATCCGATGATATATCCTCCTTCAACCTTACACTTCTTCGGTCTCCTCCTCCTCTTGTTTCTCTCTTTCAATTCCCTTTTGTTTCCTTTCCTTTTTTTTTACAATAATTTTGGCCATTTCCTGTGTGTAATCTTAACAACAAAAACACACATACATATTATATATATATATATATATAAACACAAGTTCTTTCCTTCTAAGGAAGCCATGACTGGCAGAGAAATCCTCGATAAGATGAAGGTATCCCCTCTCCTTTCTGGGTTTCTTTTAATACCCTTTTCTTTGTCTAGTTAGACTTTGCATAACCTGTTTTATGTATATATACACATATAATTTATATATGTATGTATTTAGAATCTGATAAGTGGAACCTTGGACCTTGTTTTATAAGGAATTTAGGAAGGAATGTTGTATGATATTAGATTATCTTTTCAAATGGGTTATGATTTCCTTGAGAACCGATTTATATATATATATATATATGGGGTTTGGATAGATTTTTTTTGGATGAAACATTGGAAACTAGATGATAGTTTCTAAGAATTAGTTTATGGTAATTTGATTTGATGAATTTGTAAGAATTGGGAGTTTTGGATCATTTTACCTGAATAATTATCAAATAAGTTTCCATAAGAAAATGAAATTTTTAAGATTTTGTTTAGAAATTAGGGCCAAAATTAAATTCCCTTTTGCATTTTGAAAAATTTTAACCCATTTTCAGCACAATCCTTTGCTGTTGATTTCATGGTTATCTTCATCGATGGGTATTTCTATGGAAATTGTGTAGATTTACTGTTTATTAAGCTGTGTATATTGGTTTACTGCAGGAAAAAGTTGGTATAAACCCTTCCAATGCTGATTCTGGGAAAGGGAAGAGTAAGATGTCGAAGCACATAACTCATGGCTATCATTTAGTCAAGGGGAAATCAAACCATCCTATGGAAGACTACGTTTTTGCGGAGTTTAGGCAAGTCAACAACAGCGAGCTTGGTTTATTCGCTATATTCGACGGTCATTTGAGCCATGTCATTCCAGATTATTTGAAGGCGAATTTGTTTACCAATATCTTGAATGAGGTAATCTGTAATGTCTGTCATCAGCTGGATCTTATCCTTTATTATCCTATAATTTTTTGCTCTTGGTTTTGACTGTATCTTTGTTTCATTTTCGAGAGCAGCCCAACTTTTGGACAGAACCGGAGACTGCAATTAGGAAAGCGTATAATGTAACAGATACGCAAATATTGGAACAAGCCATTGATTTGGGCAAAGGGGGTTCAACTGCAGTGACAGCAATATTGATGAACTGCCAGAAGCTGGTAGTAGCAAATGTTGGAGATTCCCGGGCTGTGATATGTAAGAATGGTGTGGCTAAACAGCTTTCAGTTGATCATGAGCCTGCTTCCGAGAGGGAGAGCATCGAAAATAGAGGTGGCTTTGTTTCAAACTTTCCAGGTACTGGAGCCAATCTAATTTTCAACTTTATTTTGGAAACTACATTAACACTTTGATTACGACTATTGAATGTTCATATGGAAAGCTCCATGTTTCCTTTTGGTTATGTTGTTCATATGGAAAGCTGCATGTTTTCTTTTGGTTTCAGGGGATGTTGCGCGTGTTGACGGTCAGTTAGCAGTGGCCAGGGCATTTGGTGACAAGAGTTTAAAGAAACATCTTACTTCGGAGCCGGACGTGATCACTGAAATGATCAATGATGATACCGAGCTCATAATATTGGCAAGTGACGGTTTATGGAAGGTTAGCCGTGCTTAGTGCATTTTTCTTTTATTGAAACTGCACATTAAATCTTAGATTTAATGGGTGTTCCTTTCAAATTGCAGGTTATGTCGAACCAAGAAGCTGTTGATGCTATCAAAGGCGTTAAGGATGCTCGATCTGCTGCAAAGCACCTAACTGAGGAAGCTGTTAATAGGAACAGCAAGGATGACATCTCCATTGTAGTTGTAAGATTTCAGTGATCTGTAAGTGCGTCAACTTATTTTGTTGAACCTTTTTCATGCTCGATAGAATGTTTATGCTTATTTCGTGTCGGTATCCGAATCTTTCTATACGTAAACTAACTGTAATTTAGCTTTCTAAGAACCAATGAAACTAAAGTTGTCTTTGAATCATTTATCCAAGCTTACTCATGGTTTCAGTGTTTCAGCTGATCGGATATGCTATGAAATTTATTAATTTGTATTGAACAATTGGAGTTTCCCTCGGATAATCGGATATAATTCCGATACATGACATTGTTATAAAATCCTTCATCATGGTATGCTAACTTATAACTACTACATACTGTGAGAGATTAACCATTGGTTGACAAAAGATGGGGGGCATAAGCTGATGATGTTTTGATCCTTAAGCTCCTTATCTGACCTAGAATGTTGAAAAGATGAATTGCTCGGAATGCATTATAGGTAACAACATCAGGCTCAATGCCTTGTTTTATCATTCTGTCAACAATATGCTCAGCTTCAGAGATCATTCGTTCCTTGCAATGTGCATTAATCAATGCATTATATGTGAAAACATCAGGCTCAATGCCTTGTTTTATCATCGTGTCAACAATATCTTCAGCTTCCTTCGGTGACTGTCTGTTACAAAATTGTAAAATAAACGAGAGCAAATTACAGTAGAGGTAAATTTTGTTTCATTTGCTTTCGATTTTGGGCACTCAAATTTTGATTCTTACAATTTATTTATTTACGTTATCAACTAATAACAATTCATTAACATGTTAATTTAACCCGACTTTAATAAAATAGCAATTTATCTCTTAAAAAATTCTATTTTAATAATTTATCTCGATGAGATTTGGATGGATGTTGATATTTGAATATCCATGATTCAAGTTCAATTTTCCAAATATTTAAAATTTAGATAACAAAATGTTTAGACTAATTTTATTTTTATGTTTAATAAATTCGTATTATCTTTTTACTCAGTAAATTTAAATATTTGGAGAATAGTTTAATTAAATCAGATTTAGAAAATAACACTCAAATTTGTGGATAATAATAAATAAATCTTAGTTTTAAAACAGATTTAAAAGTTAAGATTTAGATTTTATTGAAATTTAATAGTTAAGAGTCAGATATTTGACATGTTATCAACTTATCATATCCCTTTTAAGCTATGTTTAGATTCTTCTACTATGAGTAAATATAAATTTTAGTACTCTAACTTTGACATTTATGTTCAATATATTTTTTTGGGTAATTAAATATTCAAAATTTTAATTATATATTTTCACTTCTGGTTGGTTCATATTCATAATTTAAGATTTTTTAGTTAAAGTAATAATTTATGTTACATGTTTAAAAGTTAGACCATAAAATATAAGTATGAACACATAATTTAAAAAATTATTAGATACACCAAAAATAAAAGATTAATACTTTTGCCAGAAAAAAAATTAAAACCTGGGCCAAAAATTTAATTATACCATTTAAAAAGTTAAATACATAATTATACCATTAAAAAAGTATAATACTTACACTGAGGTTCAGGTAAAATAGTTATTTTAATCTTCACAGAAAAATTATTCATGACTGAAGTTTTCAAAGGTTCTATATGCTTTGCATAGAAAGAGCTCCAGCAACAACATCGTCATCAACAAGATCCTCACTTCCTTAAGAGATCAACTAAACTGAAAATAGACTCGGCACACGTTGGAGTTTCCAAATCTTGAACTCATCACAGTACAATTACTTATAAGTAAATCGATTTACAACTACAAATAATGATATTTACACTAAACATTAAACCTTCATCAAGACTGATTTATCAGATCCTAAGATGAGATTCAGGAATAAAGTGGAAGTGCAAATATCTGCAGAGAAGCCCTTACCCACCATTTCTTCAAGAACTTGTGTTTACTTCAAGGAAACAATTCTACATTTATTAAAAGATTTAGTATCAAAATTTAATTATTTTTTAAAGATTAACTATTATTTTTTTGAAGGGATGGTTTGCTTTATAGGTAAATCCAATCAGGCTCAATGACCGTCTATTAATGCATTATAGGTAAAGACATCAGGCTCAATGCCTCGCTTTATCATTTTGTCAATAATATCTTCAGCTTTAGAGATCATTCCTTCCTTGCAATGTGCATCAATCAATACATTATACGTGATAACATCAGGCTCAATGGCTTGCTTTACCATTGCGTCAACAATATGCTCAGCTTCAGAAACCATACCTTGCTTGCAATGTGCATCGATCAATATATTATATGTGAAAATATCGAGTGAAATGTTGTTATCCACCATTTCGTTCAACAGCCTTGTTGCCTCCTTTTGCTGGCCCAAATTACACATACCATGAATTAAGCAAGTGTAAGAAATAGTGTCTGGTCCAATGCCCTTAACCTTCAATTCAGAGAAGAGATCGAAAGCCTCCTTTGACAGCCCGTGCTTACAAAGACAGTCGATGACAGTGCTGTATGCTACAATATTGGGTTTGAAACCTCTTCCTTCCATCAGCCTTAGAAACCTAACAGCTTTATCTGTATGGCCGATCTTACACTAACCATTAAGAATTGTACTGTAAACAATTAAATCAGGTTGGTACCCCTTTCCAACCATTTCATCATACAAATTAACAGCCTGAGAAATCTTACTTAGCTTACAAAGTCCATTAATCAAAGTGGACAGAGTTACAACACTAGGTTCAACACCAGACTTGAGCATTTTCCCCAAAACAGAATACCCAAAATCAACCCGACCCAATTGACAAAAGCAATTAATCAACATGTTGAATGAATAAACATCATGAGAAACTCCAAGTAATTCTATCCGGCAATACAAAGAAACGGCAATGGCATAATGTTTCATTGTAACAATGGCAGCCAATAATTTAGTGAATTCCACAATTGAAGGCTTTGGGTACTGGCCAATCATCTTGTTAAACACAATCAGAGCATCACCAACACTATCGAAGCCATCATACGTTTTCCCCTTTCCACTTACAGAGACGGATTTCTTATTTAAAGCATCGATGTTGGTAGCAAAGGGGTTAACAGAAGAAGAAAAAAAAAGGGTGGAAAATAGAGCGATTCCTTCGGGCATTGACAACAGGTCGAAGAATAAGAGAAGAAATAAGCTTACCCATATCTTGAAATGAAAAAGAAAGAGCTGAGCTTGAAATGGTGGCGGCACCAATTTAACAACTGATTTTTCTTTCACGCCTCACCTGTAAATAAAGAATATAAAAGCTGTTAAGGGGAAATGAAACTAGGCGAGGGTCGTTGTCTATCACAAAATTGTAAAATAAACAAAGGGAAAATTACAGTAGAGGTGTTCATTTACTTTATCAATTAATGATAATTTAGTCATTCATATGTACATCGATCAATACACTGTACGTGATCAACCAACCCTTCCTTCCTTGCAAAGTGCACCAACCAATGTTGTATACGTGATCAATCAATATCTACATTTATCAAAATATTTAGTGTCAAAATTTAATTCTTTTTTAAAAGATTAACAATTAATTTAAACATAAAAATTAATTTAATTAAAAAGTATATGATTGAATTTATCATTAATTTAATTCTCATTACTTCAATGATGTAATGATGTGATATATTAATAAAAACTTAATTTTTTAACTTTAAAAAATATCAGTTTTACCATTAAATAAACTCTATTTTAACCCAAAATTTTTATTTTATTTTTCACCTTCTTAAAAAAAATCTTAAAATTCATCAAGACTGATTTATCAGATCCTAAGATAGATTCAGGAATAAAGTGGAAGTGCAAATATCTGCAGAGAAGCCCTTACCCACCATTTCTTCAAGAACTTTTGTTGCCTTCGAGGTATAACTGTTTCGAAGAAGCCTCCGAATCACTACATTATAACAGCAGCTATTAGGCAAACAGTCATTGTCTCCCATGCTCCTAAACAATTGGTATGCTTCGTCTGGCAATCCATCTTTAGACAGTCCATCAATCATTATGGTATATGTGTAAACAGTCGGTTTTAAACCATTGAATGAGAGTTTCTGAAATAATTCCTTCGCCACATCAATACGCCCAGCTTTGCACAACCCATCGATCAGGATACTATAAGAGACAATATCAAGTTCCAATCTGTTGTTCCGCATTGCGTGAAAAAGTTTCAACGCCTCTTCGAGTTTACCTGTTTTGCATAAACCATCCAACAAAATCGAACAGGTCACTATATCTGGAACATGTCCAGAAGCAAGCATCTTCCTCAAAAATTCACATGCAGTTGAAACTCTCCCTAACTGAAACATACTTTGCATAAGAGTGCTGTATGTGACGTTATCCGGGATTGGTCCTTTTAGAGATATTTCATGAAAGAGTTCCATTGCCTCATCTAACTTTTTAGCTTTGCAATATCCTTTGATCAACGTGCTGTAACTAACTATATCAGGTGCACAACCCTTCTCAATCATCAGCTGTAGAGCTCCTCTGGCTTTATCTACTTTGTTTTGCAAGCAATGACCATTTATTAATGCATTATACGTGATAACATCAGGCTCAATGCCTTGCTTTATCATTGTGTCAATAAAATCTTCAGCTTCAGAGATCATCCCTTCCTTGCAAAGTGCATCGACAATGTATTATTTGTGACATCATCAGGCTCAATGCCTTGCTTCCTCATTGTGTCAACGGTATCTATTGCTTTAGAAATCAATCCCTCCTTGCACTGAACATCGATCAATATACTATACGTGAAAATATCGAGGGAAATGTTGTTATCCACCATTTCGTTCAAAAGCCTTGTTGCCTCCTTCTGATGGCCAAAATTACACATACCATGAATTAGGCAATTGTAAGTAACAGTGTTTGGTCTAATGCGCTTAACCTTCAATTCAGAGAAGAGATCGAGAGCCTCCTTTAACAGCCCGTGCTTACAAAGACAGTCGATGACAGTGTTGTATGCTACAATATTGGGTTCGAAACCTCGTCCTTCCATCATCCTTAGCAACCTAACAGCTTTATCAGTAGTGCCGATCTTACACAAAACATTAAGAATTGTACTGTAAACAATTAAATTAGGTTGATACCCCTTTTCAACCATTTCATCAAACAGACTCACAGCCAGAGAAATCTTACTTTGCTTACAAAGTCCATTAATCAGAGTGGAGAAAATTACAATATCAGGTTCAACACCAGACTTGAGCATTTTTCCCAAAACAGAATATCCAAAATCAACCCGACCTAATTGACAATAACAATTAATCAAGATGCTCAATGAATAAACATTATGGGAAAATCCTAGCATTTCCATACGGCTATACAAAGAAACGACAATGACATAATGTTTCATTCTAACAATGGCAGCCAATAATTTAGTGAATTCCACAATTGAAGGCTTTGGGTACTGGCCAATCATCTTGCTAAACACAATCAGAGCATCACCAACACTATCGAAGTCATCATACGTTTTCCCCTTTCCACTTACAGAGACGGATTTCTTATTTAAAGCATCGATGTTGGTAGCAAGGGGGTTAACAGAAGATGAAAAAGAAGGGTGGAAAAATAGAGCGATTCCTTCGGGCATTGACAACAGGTCGAAGAATAAGAGAAGAAATAAGCTTACCCATATCTTGAAATGAAAAAGAAAGAGCTGAGCTTGAAATAGTGGCCGCACCAATTTAACAGATCTGTAAATAAAGAATATAAAAGCTGTTAAGGGGAAATGACGAGTATAACATTAATTTATTAAAGTATTGACATAACAACTCACATAAGGAGTCACATATACCTTATATTATTTTTATATGTCCACATCAACATGAAGTATATGTGTATTGTCATACGAACTTTTATATTAATATCATTAAAGATTTAGCATTTTCATTAATAATTTTATGGGTAAACTACATAAATGGTATTGAACTTTTAGGATGCTTGCATTTTGGTCACCCAACTTTTAAAACTTACAATACAATCACCGAACTTTTAGTTCGTTTTTGGTAAGGTCTCTGACGTTACGTCCCGTTAGTTTCATCGGACGTGGCACGTTACTATTATTTTTTAGCTTAATAAAATAATCCTTTTAACCCATTTCATCACCTTAAAAAAATTTCCTTACCCAAAATTGTATGAGAACCCTAAAAATCAAAATTCCCTTTCTCTAATTCTCTTTATTTGATAATTCATGTTCATAGACAATTCAATTTATATGCTGAACCTCAAATTTCAAAGTCATGTTTGTTAAACTATGTTTTTATAATATTTTGATATAACAAATTAAGACAAAATATTTTTGGGAATTTATTCAAAGTTTTCAAAAAATAATCCAAAGTCCATTAACTTAGAATTTGAGCAAACACAATTTTTCACGTATGTAGTACCGATATTGTTATTATAGTATCGATACTGCATGAACAGTATCGATACTGTTCATGTGGTACCGATACCAAAGGTAAGAGAAGTATCGATACTCTCAATGTAGTATCGATACTACAAGCTTACTCAAATTACAGAATGCAAAATAGGTATCGATACTCAAAGGGATACCTATACTACTTTACATAGTAGTATCGGTATCATGAGCTTAGTATCGATACCGTCAGGCCGAACGGCTAGTTTTATTTAAATATTACAAATGTAGTACCAATTCTCCCTATAAGAGTATCGATACCTTTTATCCTGAACAATTTTATTTTGCAGAGAAAACATCTCCAACGGCTCCAAATCACTCCAAACTGCTAGAAACGACCACAAACAAATTCCAACATATAAATACAAGTTCAATAAACTATAATAAGGGTTAGAATATCTATCCAAACAATCAAATACAAGAGAAGAGTTTTTCATTCCTATTATACTTTCTCTTGTAAATATTTTGTTCTTATGAGCTTTAATTTGTAAACACCATACCTTATAGAGGTTTTTATTGTTTACTTCTTTGATCCTTTTGAAAAGGGGTTTTGGTACTAGCTAAGCCTTTGAAAAGCTAGGGAGTTTGTAAATGTTATCTCTTTGTCCTTGAAAAAAGAAAGAACAAATTAGTGGATTTGTTGAAAAATCCTAAGTATGGAGCTTATGTAGTGGATGTAGACTTAGTTGAAAAGTTAAACCACTATAAATCGTTGTGCAAAATTGCCTACCTCTTCTTTATCCTTACTCCCTAAACAATATTAGTCAATTCACCCCCTCTTAACACTTTTTCGGTTGTCAATTTGAACTTTAACAATCCCAACAATATTCAAATTCAAGCTTACCAGAATGAACTTGTAGCAACAAACATAAACAAAAAAAATAGAAGCCCTAAATCCTAAATTACCCCTTTTTAACCTAACATAATCAAACACAACAAAACCCCCAAATCACTAACTCAAATCTTCTTTCCCTCTCCATGGTTCTTGTCTTTCTTAGCAAACCAACAATAACAATATGTGAACGTGGATTCAATGGGAGATCATACCAAAAAAATTACAATTTCTTCTAAATACACGTCCATGTTTAACACACCCAAAGAACCTCATTAACAAGACTGAAGTTTTCAAAGGTTCTATATGCTTTGCATAAAAAGATCTACTGCAACATCATAGTCATCAACAAGATCCTCACTTTTTTTTAAAATGAAACTAAATATTAGTTTGAGAACTTAGAAAAGCATTTTTTCAACCGAAGCTAAGAACAGTAAAACACCAGAAACTATGCGAAATTAGAAAAAAAACAGAAAAAGAAAAAATAACCTTGAAAATTTGTTGTTTATTGCTTTCGAAACAACTAGTTACAGAGTCTTTTTTTCAAATCCTTGTACAGTGTTTAATGCATGGGTTTTATACCCATTTACAACTGAAAATGAAATATTATTCTTTTTCTCTCTTTTGTTTCTGATGCAGCGTAACGTGGAGCTCGGTGGCGTGCGTGGGTGCCTTTTGCTGTTATTGGGGGAGAAATGTGGCCATGGGTTGGGGAATGGGGTGCCTACCCTAGGGCTAGGGTTAGACCGGGTCGGGTTCTGTTCTTTTGGGTTCCTCCAGGTTTTAGATTTAGGTTCGGTTTTGGGTCTGGGCTTTAGTTTGGGGCTTGGTGGGGGTTGGGTTATTTTTAAAGGTTTTGGGTTTAATTTAAAGAAAATGATGCTCACAGATTTCTTCTTCATTGACATTTTCAGCTCTCCTGCAAAAATTGCTTCTTCTCCTTTACAAAACTCCCAAAGATGGCGAACGGGAGCGATTTAGAAACGACACCGTTGTTATCGGATGTCAATGAAGGAAGAAGTTGGTGGAATTTAGTTTTGGATTTGGAGTAGGCGAAGAATCAAGCTTTGTTCTCACTTCCGATGATCCTTACCAATCTTGTCTACTATTCCATAACTCTGATATCCGTCATGTACGCCGGTCACCTCGGCGAGCTTCACCTTGTCGGTGCAACGCTTGCTAATATTTGGACTACTGTCACCAGCTTTGTGTTCATGGTTAGTCCTCCACTCGTTTATTATATTTTTTTACAGTGATAACTTTAGAAATTCTTCTAAGGGTGGATATACATATTTTAACAAAATAATTTTTTTAAATAAAATTTAAAATGGATATAATTAGAATGAATAATCAACTGAAAAAATTTAACTAAAAGTTGTCAAATCCATCCAATGAATTTTTTAATTATCCCAAATAATTCAAAAAAAATTATGTTCAAATTTAATTTGTTAATTCGAGTAGTTAATAATATTAATTATTCCGATCCGAATGTTTTTCGTACTTTCTTTTTCAATAGATATCGTCCACTTCAATTTGTTATCAGGATTTAAAAAAAAACAATTTTGTGGTTTTAAGACAAGATACGTTCCAATATTTAGCCTGGAAAATTAGTGATATAGACTATTAATTGATAAATAAGTAAATTAGAGGCAAAGTGAAATTATAGAATAAATTAAAACGTTATAAATAATTAAAAATATTATGAAACTTGAGCACGACATAAATACATAAATGAACGTGTTAAAATATATATATACATAAATAACTAGAATTGCTATAAGTACATGCTATATTAGTTAAATGAATATGAAAAATGTATTATGAATTAAGAAATGTCACTAACATATGAATTATTCTTTAAATTGAATCACAATAATAATATATAAAACACGGCATGAAAAATAACTTTGATACAACAAAACACAAACATATTAAAACTTACAAATGAAATTATAAATTTTAGTTTAATCACAGATCCAATGATCGATTAATTCGGATTAGATTTTACAGAGGTTATGACGGTGACAATCCCAATTCAATTTACTCAATTCATAAACACAAAATAACAAACTCATGATCTTATTTAAAGAATCTATTATCTCGTTTTATCAGATAAAATTATAATATTCTAGATATAAGAAAACCCTGAAACACACATATAACATAACACATGCATTTCAAAATTTGAAACAAAAAATTTAAAAAATCTATGTCATGAGTGTGACAATATCTATTTGTATATTACGTTTTTTCCCGAATTGGAAATAGCATACATAATAGATGCATTTGATAAAGATTTATAAACAAATCATTTATGGGTCCATCCGTATAATAATCTAAGCATTTTGAATGAAAAAATTTTAAAAATCAAAAGAGACAAATTTAGTGGGACGGACAAAGGAAATAACAGTTTAGATTGAGTATATTTCACGACAAGTATCAAAACTTTTGCTATGAGTTTCGATACTTATCGTTTCCAACTTAAAATGTTACCAATATATATATATATATATATATATATATATAACATTTTAGGTTTGCTTGGTAAGTGCCGAAACTTATTCTCTGAGGTTTGATACTTATTATTTTTAACCTAAAATGTTATCGATATATATATAACATTTTAGGTTTATTTAGTAAGCATTAAAACTCTGAGTCACAATTTTGATACTTGTCGTGAAATATTCAACCTAGGAAGACCAAAAACTCATGTAAGAATTTAAGTTGAAGTATGAAATGTTATCGACGCCTACCTAAAATGTTATATGTATGATAACATTTCAAGTCACAACCTAAAATACCCCTCAATATTAATTTAGAACTAATTATAATATTTTAATCTACAACTGAAAATTTTATTAATTTTAGGTTGATAACTGATAACAAAGTGCTTCATCTTGTATCAATTTAAACTTTAGCATTTTCGATTGTATCTATTTAAAAAACTTTCTCATTTAATAACATTTTTGATTGATCGTAACTTAAATTAAGAAGGTGCACCTTGTATTCACCCCACCGTGACACTATAATAGCACCTACAAAATCACGTTGCAACATTATCTGTAACTGTGACATACAATCGTAATTTATTATTATATTTTGTTCTACGGGCCAGTTTAGTATAATGTTTGAAAAGTGACTTTTATAAGTGTTGTAGAAATGAATTTTTAAAAGTGTTGTACAAAAATACAATTTAAAATTTAACTGTTTAGAATTACTGTTAAAAATGAGTTTGAAAAGATAAAAGTCCATTATAAACATCATGTTGTAAATTAAAAATATAAAAAATACAAATAAAAAATGTAATTATAATAACTCACTATTAATACTTTAACATATAAACCATGAATTTTATATA